CTCACCAGTAGCTTAAGCAATAACAGGAGCAATATAAATGAACACTGTGAACACAGCAACTTGCATCCAAAAACACTTAGCGATGAAACAACACCTGGCGAGTAACAACACTTGATATGACACAACAATGGTTAGTTCCCGGACACAGGCCCCCACTTGTCGCGATCCCACTACCCTTTATACCTGGGAAGTGAAACCTACCCCAAGTTATTAACAAATAAAGGAACAAATAGGGAACACGGCAATAATTATCCCCACAAAAACCTACTCAACTAAATGTACTTGAATAAGTAAGAACAGTTGAAATAAGTGAATCACAAAAGGGAAGATAATTAATTAATTCAATTTATGTTCTAAAGGGAGTACTGACTAGCAAACAAGAATTTAAGGGAATAAGTGATCGTATATTAAAATAAGAGTGATGCCGGAAGGGCGAAAATATACCGTAAGGAGTTAGACCAAACGAATATTACTTAACATAACTATATTACATAGACATACAATATATATACAATCCCTACAAAATAGTTATTTCCTACCAAACAGGAGATTCCTTACCACCAGGATCCCTTCCTAGGCCTAACTAAACGTGTCACTAATACCTGATACCCCTTGGGCATTGCAGAAGACTGGACAAGGCACTAGACAAGGGTCAAGGCTTGAGAACGAATGGACACGTCTACCATATGCCACGGTTTTTCGCTACTGGGGAAGCGTGGGGCACGCCGTGGAGGAGCGCGTCTCATATCACGTGATCCAGGACATTTGCTAGATAATCTATATAATTAATTAATACTACTCTTCATTTGACTTAACAGAGTAACACAATGATGCATATTAATAACATACATAAATATACAATTAACCTAAGTAACTAAGAACACTAATAATATAATAAGTACAATTAACAAATTATTAATAGCTTGTGTGAAATGGAGGCGTGAACATATGCCTCACGCCATTGCGAGTTCCTGAGCGCTCAGGCATGTGACAAGGGTGGAGTTAATAAGTTCTTATTTTTTTATACCATTTTCTCAGGACTGGATATAATTTTGTTGAGTGCCCTTAAGGCCTATTCATTGTAGAGTTATTAACTTCTTACTTTTTTAATACCATTTTCTCAGTAGGTGATATTATTTTATTGAAAGCCCTTAAGGCCTGTTTCATGTGTGCAAGCAACACTTCTTAATACTTGAGTTTATTGTTGTCTAATGAGGCATTGTCTGAGTTTCTAATAATTGCAATATCATGTATAACTTTTATTCTGCAGAGTAGTGTTTTAAGTTCAGGTTAAGAGGTGTGCACATGTTGGTGTACCATTATTTGATTGTGTCTGTAGTGTTGTAGGGAATATAAGTGTCTAAATTTTACAGTGTGTCTCATTCATCCCAGTCACAGACACTATCCTTCCACGGGTCATGGACAATTCATTTTGTTTAGTAAATTTAAGTGTTCTCTTGCTCGTTCGGGATTTTTTTCAAAGGGGCGCTTCCACTGCAATTACCATCTAATAATCTTTATTAAACCCCAAGTCAAGTGAGAAATTAAGGGTCCAGTAAATTCCGACCGGTTACACATATATATATATATATATAAATATTGATTCTTCAATATTCAGCACTACTATAGGAGGGGAGCAGTATAGGCCATGTTGGAATGTACAGTCCTGGTCAAAAGTCCTCTGCCAGGCAGCTTAGGGCCAATTGCAAGATCAGCCGTGGTGTACACCATGCCGTGGTATCTCGGCGGTCGTAATACAATGGCGTGAAAATTTTGTGATTATTCAAGATGGGCCATGGTGCATGGTGTACACCATGCCGTGGTACCCGACCGTCGTTTGTTGTTACTACGTCATCGTAGTGTATTCAGGTGTACCAACTGGCAGAAGACTTGGAGGTTGGCACCCGTGACCATCAAAATATTGGCGCTTTGAACTTTTCCCGGGAGGAGGCACTAGCATGGCTAACGTGAATATCAAGGTAAGGTGCACCTTATTTGCCTATTTTCTAGGATTTTAAGCCAATTTTGGGTATGAAATACGATTACATAGAGTGAATATGGGTAAATAAGGCTGATAACATAAAGAATTCAGTTTGTTACTAGAGAATTATGGCCTGGTCTGTGGATGAAGTCAGTAGAATATACCAAAGTATCATGCATTATATTTTATGACAGTTATGGACACACTGTACAGATGAATTGTGATAAATCTTGAAAAATATCAACATACTATAACTGTTAACTGCCTGTCAGACAGAAACTTATCTTTGTGCCAAAAACAATTACTGTATTGTTAACTCGAAATATACTGTATGTCTATCATTATGATACTTATCCCATACATGGCCATAGCAACAATAATATCTGTAAATGCTATTTTGACATCTTCACCAAGCTAGATATTTAGATATTAATCAAATGTTCATTGTATCCTTTTATTGCAGGCTGTACCACTCAGAAAAAACAGTGGCAGGACCTTGTTGCCCTTATTAAAGATAGGGAAGCCACCCTAACCTCAAAGGTTTCAAACCCTCGCCTGCCAGAAAAAAATTCCAGGCATGGCAAGACATTGCCTCTTTTTTCAATGCAGGCAACCCTGGGCAGGATCCCAGGACTGTTAAACAGTTAAAAAGATGCTGGGAGCATATAAAGAGAAAGTATGTATGAAATAAAAATATTTGTAGGATATGGGATTAGAATTTGTCAGGTAGGATTAGCAGGGATATCAATCCCTCATTTTATTTCAAATTCAAATAGCTAACCATCATCTTTTAATTTTGTTACAATTATCATTTCGGTCATCCACCAATTTGGAAGTTGAAAATATATTATTTCAACCTAACCTAACCGAACCTTTAACTTAAAATCCTAAAATTCGCTGGATGACCGAAACGACAATAATACTATTTTTTGAAATATTGAATTATTTTAGAGTAATGGCTGTTCCCCTTTCTTACAATTTTTAGTCCCAGTATTGCACAGGAAGCAGTAATTGTTAAGTAATAATAATAATGAATTAAGATGATTTTTTATGCATGTATGCCTTTCAATCAAATAATTGTTATTGTTAGCCCTTTTGCTGTGATGAACATCATTTGGCCTAACTAGTATATTGCTATTGCTAACGCCAGAAAATCTTACTATATCAGGGAGATCTATAATCTTGCAGTGCAGTGATTAAATAGCCTACTGATAGCTATAGTTAATATGGATTAGACAACAGCAAACTACTTTCTCTCTGAACATACCATATATATATATATATATATATATATATATATATATATATATATATATATATATATATATATATATATATATATATATATATATATATATAATACAGAAAATCTCCGATAGCCGGAATTTAAATTTCCTCGGAAAATCATTTCATAAGCTCTAATTAACTGGAAAATTCCAAAGCCGTAATTTTCCGGAAACTTCCAGCTGTGGGAACAAATTTCCGAGAAAATATCAATTCCGGCTATCAGAGCATGTTTTTTTGTTCATATGGTTTCATTAAAAAAAAATCTTCCAGAGTTAAGACTGAAGACTTAACTTTTCGGAAAAAAATGAGAGAGACAGGAGGAAGACCACCACCAAGACCTCCAAAGTTCTCCGAGGAACTGGAGGAAGCCCGATCCTTTATGTCCAAGTACTTGTCTTTGGGAATAACATCAGAAGAGTCATGGATCAGAACAGAGGAAGTGAAAACAGATGCTTTCACCAGGATATCAAGATTCTTTGAAAAATTAGAGAAGATGGTGGACTCCAGCAACGGAAACTTTGTGAACCTTACCCAAACATTCAAAGAATGATATTATAGGAACTGCACGAGAAGAAAGTAATTTTATATATTTATTTTTCCATTTTCATTAAACTTTACTTTCAATTAATTTCTCACAATTAAAAAAAATTCTTTATGGTTTCTTAGTAATTGAATTATAGAATAAACTAATTTCTTTTAAAAGGTATCTATATTTTGTGATATATATTTGCAATGCCAAATATTTTGCAATATTTAGGTTAATTTAGAATCGAAAAATTCGTTAACTGAAACCATTGTTTCAATGGGTTTTTGGGTAATTGGTTCCAGCTCACCGAAAATTGCCTAAATTCAACAAAAATGGTAGAAAAGTTCACTTACTTTGAGGTGTGTATGTAGAAGGCTCCTGGATGATGATGATGATGATGTGCATTTGAAGTGGGAGGTGGAGGAGAAGGAAGAAGAGAAGGCATTGGGGTAGAAGAGAAGTCACCCCATGGCACCATTTCACCCATAAAATTTTAGTTCTCTTGGTGTATTTCAAGATTATTTTCTTTAAATCAACACTGCACTGCATTATATATTGTCAATATGTAAAATATATTTCAAAATGACCAATAATTTGCTTGGAAACACAGAAAAAAAGCGTTTAGTTGAAGAGAGTCTCAAGCAAGATGTTACCTCCACTGAAAACAGAGAGACTAACGCCTGTCTGGTGTGTTAACAGGCTGGATGGCATGCCAGAAACTAGTTTCTTTACCTTCAATTATGTCCAATAATTGTTAAAATGACTAAAAAAGTTAATATTAAACTTTTAAATTTATTGAATAGTATAAACTTCTTGATATTTACTAAAATAGTAAGGAATTTAAGCCCTAGAACCGATTAATGTATTGGTGGACTAATACTAAAGCTGGTTGACCGGCCAGTGCAAGCGAAAACATGTTGAGGTCGGTTCGTAAGAAATTCGTTAACCGAATTTTTGTTCGTTAACCGAATTTAAGAATCTTATGGGAGGCAGTTTGTTAACCGAGGCGTTCGTTAACCGAGGGACCACTGTATCGCAATGAAATAATATGTATTGTATAAAAACGGTAGTATAATTATTTTTGTAAGCTAAGCTATATTTAGCAAATTTATAATAAAACATTTGAATATAAAACAGGATATAGTTATATGCTTTTTCCTTTGTTTATCTTTATTATTAATTGATAATGAATTAAACATATTGGCAATTTGGTTGAATATGAATTTAAATGTTATATAACCAAACAACAAACCATGATGAAATACTGAACATGCTCACACTATTGATGAGGATTCTTACTCACATTACATACACATTAGACAAGTATAGACAACTCACTACATAGAAATGAATTGAGAAATAATTTACAAAATCTAAAATATATAAAATATCCATGAAAAAATAAACTCAATATTAGGTACATACCTCACAATGACAACAAAAGTAAAACAGAACTTGCATGTTAAAGAATACACTAATAAAGGCTATTTACAATATCTGTCCGCCTGGCATGACCTCCAGCCATCACATTGTAGGCAAAGCAATCTTTGCGACAGCGGTAAAGCTCGGCATCATCACCGCCAGGTCCTCTGATGGGGATGAGGGTACCATCAATGCAACCAATACAGCATGGCATGTTCACAATGACAGAGAACTCCTGCATGGCAGTAGTCTCCTCTGCTGGGGAAGGGAACCGAATGTATCGTGGTGCAATGGTGGTGATGGCACGGGTAACCCTCTTGATTGATCGACAAACGCTTGCCTGTGACATATCTGCCGAGTCCAACAGTCAGCTGCAAATCACCTGTTGCTAGGTAATAGAGTGCAACCAATAACTGCGTCTTGGTAAGATACGGAGACCTAGAAAAGTATTTGTACAAATTAGTTTTGGATAAATTATGGTGTGAAATTATGCACTGTTTTCTTTATACACAGAGAATGGATATATACCAGTCTCTTTAACATGGGCTGGTATTGCAGGCTGTAGGGCTGCAATTCACATATAATTTGAAGCAAAAATTTTAATAATTCTGCAATACCTAAATCAATATGACTGCTGTACATGTTTGGTCTGAACTGCTGTTATGTTCAATTACCTCTCCTGTTTCTGGAAGCTGGAAGATGGTGTCCAATTTCTTGTAACAAGGCTGTAACACACTGTTTTGATAGCCGATACCTCCGCATAAACTCGTCGTCGGTGAAAACCTTGAAGGATCCATCCGCTGCCGTCTATGGTTTCTGGCCACCCTCGCTTACTCCATGACATCCAAAACTTCTTGGACTTCATCCAAATATTCAACGAAATATTCCATGCTGAAAAAAAATTAAATAAATTCACCTACCTACTAAAAAAATAACTTGACCATAACGAAAACCATTAACCCCTCAACGAGAAGTAACCCCTTCACTATGAAGCAAGAGCTCTCTCTCCCCTAGACAAGTAAACTCATCTGGCATTAGTCAGAGTACCCAAAATAGTACAGTGATAACCAAGGACTTTGCATCATACTAAAGGGGTTAACTGTAGATTTTAGTGGGCTTTTTATTTTTTTGGGTACTTTCCGTGTAAGTTTGATGAGAATCATGCATATGGTCAGTTATTATTATTTTTTTTTATCCTCTTCGCCACTGATCGGCTCGTCAGCCGCTTGGGCGATCGGTCTCATCTCTGATTACTTTTCCTTTTCATTTATCTTCTTCACCAAAATATTGGCTCGCTAGCCGCCCTGGGCGATCAGTCACGTGTCTGTCACGCACCGTTGGCAAATACTGGGCATGCACCGGCTCCTGAATGTACCTGAACCCGCTCCAGTGTTAATTTCATCTAAAATCACAGCTAACATGACCCAACTGGAAACTGACTTAACTATCATGAAATAAAGTATACAGTACTGTCTTTCATATTTTAAAGGTTGGATAAAGGACAAATACACTTATGTTAATTTCAGGTTACAGTTAATTAGTCAAGTCTGACATATTACTGTTGTCATCATTAGAATGTATATCACATTTATTGAAGAATCATAAATTCATTATCTTTGAATATCCAAAAATTTTAATAAAAAAAAAAAACAATTAAAGGTAAAGGGAGTCTCTCCTCGACTTACGACAGTGTTCCGTCCCGACGACCAGGTCGTAATACCTGAAATATTGTTATTTAATATTATCATCAATGACTTCTTTTGGTATTAAACAATACAATTTGGTGCTAATTTTTTCCTCTTACATAAAGTAGCTTTAGTGTATAGGGTGAAACATCTATCATGAAGTGATTGTCATTTGAACTTTACGGAGTCTGAATTTGTAAAAAAAACACAACTAATGTTTTTTATCTACTCATAATCAATTTCGTAAAATGAATGTTTAGGTCATCCACCTACTTGGCATTTGAAAAAACATAATTTCAATGTCACCAAACCTAACCAAAGAAGCCGCAAGTCCAGAAAGCTGTGAGGGCAAACTTTTTCGGAGTGAGGGTTGTGAACTCTTGGAACAATCTGCCAGAGAGTGTTGTGACGGCACCGAGTGTGAGCTCTTTCAAGATATGACTTGACCAACACTAGAGCGGGTTAAGGTACATTCAGGAGCCGGTGCATGCCCAGTATTTGCCAACAGTGACAGAGACGTGACCAATCGCCGGGACGGGTAGTGAGCCGATCTTTTGGTGAAGAGGAAAAATGAAAAGGAAAAATGCTCATAGACGTGACCGATTGCCCAAGCGGCTAACGAGCCGATCAGTGGTGAAGAGGATAAAAGGAACTTAACTAATCTAACATAACCTAACTTAACTGGTAAAAATCGGTTAAGTTAAAATCATTAAATTCGCTGGATGGCCAAAAGATAATAATATCATCAATTCCATTTACTTTCGAAGGACTAATTCATTTTTGTTGAAATCATGGACATACAAAGCCAATTTATCTACATGTGATTCTACCACTGTCAATGGCAAAGTTAATTAATATCACCACTCCAACTGTTGGCCCAAACAAGTCGTAAAGTAGTTCTTTCTTGTAATACATTGAGTCACTAAGGGAATAAAAAAATATAACATGAATTTAAGTCACTGAATTTATCTTATGAGTAGCAAATTGTGGTTAAACTGATACACAAATGAAACATGCCTGGGAAGTACATAGCACTAGTTACCTGGCATATTTGGACTTATTAAAATATGAAATCCAGGCTAATAAGTAATTATACTTAGGAAATAATAATTTTGGTAGTGCTGGACGGTTATTAATTGCGCTCATTACGAAAATTGGGTCGATATTATTTCTGATAAAGGACATCCATTGACCATCACGGTTGGACCAATTTGGATTCACCTGGCATTGGTTACCCGGCATATTTGGACTTATTAAAATATGAAATTTATGCTACAAAGTATTTATACTAAGGAAATAATTATTTTGGTAGTGCTGGACTGTTATTCATTGCCCTCATTACGAAAATTAAGTCGATATTAATTCTGATAAAGGACGTCATTCACCATCCCAGAGGAAGCTGTTCTCTACCACTCTTAAAATAAACCATTTACGACTTTTTTTGGGGTTAATTTGATTTAAATACATTTCTACACATAAATTAGTTGTATTAGTTATCTTAAAGGCTTACCTTTTATGATGGTAAGGCGAATTTGGAGGATATAAACGGCGATGAGACAAGTAGAGGCTGGCGGCATTTTTCATACACAAACATAGACCGCTTTTAAAAAGAACAAAGCAATTCTGCATGTGCTGTTTTATATGGAGTATATCGTATAAAAAATAATTCCTTTGCAGATTTATACATTTTATGTGCATCCAAATCAATTTTCTTTATTTTGCTTTCAAAATTTCCCCAAGTTCCAATAACGAATAATACATAGGGCCAATTGCAAGATCAACCTTGATGTATACCATGCCGTGGTATCCCTGCGGTCGTAATACAATGGAACAAAAATTCTGTGATTTTTCAAGATGGGCCATGGTGGTACCCGACTGTTGTTTGTTGTAACTACGTCATCGTAGTGTAGTCAGGTGTACCAACTGCCGGATGACTTGGAGGTTGGTATGCTTGCACCCTGAAAACATTGTCAGTGGCACGAAACGTTTGCTCTTGCTACACGATTTACGAGCATAAAAACTTGAATCCCAAGCTAAGGTGCACCTCATTTTCCTATTTTCTTGGATTATAAGCCAATTCTGGGAATAAAATACGGACATTTACAGTGAATATAGGTAAATAAAGCCTGTGACAACCATAAAAATGTAGGAATTGAGTGTAATATCTATTCCTTTCTTCTTTATCCTAATTAAATCTAACAAAGTTATAAGTTTTTCATGAACTTTGGGTTGGGTGAGTGTAATAAAGAGAACTATGGCCTGTTCTGTGGATCAAGTCAGTAGAACATACCAAAGTACAATATTAGGTATTATAATTTTGTTATGACAGTGATGAACTCACTGTACAGATGAATTGGGATAAAATCTTGAAAAAATATCACCATAACCGTTAGTTTTCTATCAAACAGGAAATTATCTTTATATCAAAATTTTTACTTTCATATTATACAAGGCCAGTTATCTACAAGATATGAAAGCTTCAGATAATGTTTCCTCCATTTCTCCACCTGATTATAGTAATGCAATAAATACCCGTTCAAAAAAACAAGACATGAACACTTTCCCAATGTCAGGAGTAAAAATGTATACAATACTAAACCAGAATTCGGAGAAAAGTATCTGTTGTTTACAAGTCTTATATTTGGAAAAATATTTCATGTAAATACTGTATATGGATCCTCACCAGAGAGCCTTCATATAGTTAGTGTGCAGACTTGTTTACAAGGCATATGCTCAACTATTATGGAAATGAAGACATGTTAGGTTAGATTAGGTTCATCTTGTGAGCAAATGTCATGGAACCCATTGACAGTAGGTATAGTCATGAAATTCTACCAACTAATCTGAGACTAATAATGTTAAACATAGAACAAGATAATAATTAAATGGTTTAAAAATATCCTCAATACAGTCTGCAATGTTAATTGCAAATCAGTCCTGCATTTTGTAATGTTTAATATAAACTGTAATAATAATGAGGATAAGAATACAATGATAATGCTTATTTCAGAATATAGCCTTTAATAAAAGCAGGATATGTTATAATATATGGATGATCAAGAGTAAAGTATTTTAAAAGAAAAATCATCCAAAAATTTCACAAATAAATTAATACGTAATATCAACGTATGTATGGAGAGTGTAAAAAAATAATATTAATAATAATTAAGGCATACAGTATGTTATGATTTCTCCAAGGTATATGTTCAGAAAATTAAAGAAACTGCATTTTTTCTGGTCTATGAATAATTTGGGGATTTTAAGGAAAGTCTCCAAATTTTTCTGTTCCGAGTCTGGGAACCAGTTCCGAGGTTAGGTTAGAAAGCCAATTCCAAAATCTTCCCTGGAACCGGAAAAATTCCCCATCAATCAAATGATACCAAGATTTATTTCTTCAGTATTGGTGAAAGGTGAATAGTTAGCTGTATCTCTACCTGTAAGTGAAAATAAAGTCATTAATATTGTGTTAGTTAAATTTGCAAATCCTGAAACACCTATATTTATGAGGGTTAATATTTATAAGTTTCCAACATCTAAATATTGAGGGTAATTTTCTCTGTTAAAAAAATAAAAATAAAAAATTTCAATGGAAACTCATATTTGTTTGGTTTGATATGCAACACACACTAAAAAAAATATTGTTTTTTCTAATGTACTGTAGTGTATATTGTTAAGGTGATTCCAAAACTTTGATCCCTTTTTTTGGAGAAATTCATAGAAGAAAAATTATACCCCCTTTAAAATTTTTAATGATCTATATAAAAATGTTAACCTAACTTACCCAACTTAACCTAACTGGAAACTGACTTAACTATCATAAAATAAAGTATACACTGTACTGTCTTTCACATTTTAAAGGTTGGATTAAGGACAAATTCACTTATGTTAATTTCTGGTTACAGTTAATTCGTCAAGTCTGACATATTTCCGTTGTCATCATTAGAATGTACGTATATCACATTTATTGAAGATTCATAATTTCATTGTCTTTGAATATCCAAGAATTGTAATATAAAAACAATTAACGGTAAAGGGAGTCATACCTGTGATTACTTTCTACAATTACTACATCTAGCTATAATTGAGTGGATCATCAAGGTGAGTTAGGTAAGATACAAGGAGTTTAATGATGAAAATGTATTACAGTCTCTCCTCGACTTACGATGGTGTTCCGTCCCGACGACCAGGTCATAATACCTGAAATATTGTTATTAAATATTATCATCAATGACTTCTTTTGGTATTAAACAATACAATTTGGTGCTAATTTTTTTGCTCTTACATAAAGTAGCTTTAGTGTATAGGGTAAGACATCTATCATGAAGTGATTGTCATTTGAACTTTACGGAGTCTGAATTTGTAAAAAAAACAAGAATAATGTTTTTGATCTACTCATAATCAATTTGTTAAAATGAATGTTTAGGTCATCCACCTACTTGGCATTTGAAAAAACATAATTTCAATGTCACCAAACCTAACCTAACCCAACTTAACTAATCTAATGTAATCTAACTTAACTGGTAAAAATCGGTCATTTTAAAAATCATTAAATTCGCTGGATGGCCAAAAGATAATAATATCATTGTCATGGGTTGCGTTGGGCTTACCCACGCAACCAACTCCAAAGTTTGTTTTACCAGAGATAAGACTCCCGGCGAGGCATAACTGGGACATGTATTTTTCAATTAGTGTATGTCAGCCAGCCTTTAGGGGGGTGGGCAGTGGAACAGTGTTGTACTGTTCATCGCTTCACACCCAAAAACCTCATTTTGACTAGTATCCCCTGAGCCATGGGTTAGTTAAGACATCGTCTCCATCCTCTCCCTCCTGAAAGGGGGCGGGACACCACACCACACAGAGTCCTCCACCGCCACTCCGTCCTGTGACCGTGATCGACACGAGACTAAGTGTGTTAACCTAGGTTTGTTATCCCCGTGGAAATATCACGTGTGGAAGCCTGGTTGCGACAAAAGCAATCCACCTAAATGGTTAATTCAAGTCACGCTTACCAGTTCTCCTTGCCGCGACAACCGTCTACCGTGACTGTCAGTGACGCGACACCATGTGTGGTAACCCAAGAGTACTTTTTGTTGCTGTGGCCCGTGGAAAGAAGTTCTTGTGCGGAAGCCTGGTTGCAACAAAAGCAATCCAGGCTGGCAGTAAATGTATCACTTGAAGAATTAAGGCTCTGTTAAGTTATATCCATAGTAGAGTAATCACATGTGTCCCCAAGTTAAAATTCTCTTTAGAAGATTAATTTTATTACAGCGTGAACGTGAGTAGATCATATATCCATGCAAATTGTAAATCATTGTATGGAAGCTTGACAAATAAATGTAAGTGCAATTATCTGCTCGTATCTGTGATCCTATCTTATTATTACTAAAGGTAATGACTGATTGGTTATGACAGTATAACCAATAACTTAGATGGATGTTGAAAATTAAATGAATTCATTAAATCATCATTTATCAAGTATAAATCATGGAATGTCGAGTGGTGGAGTGAACTTCTACGTAGATACGCCATAATCTCCTGTAAGTAACCAGTGTGAAGGTATCGAACTCTACGGTAAGAAATAAGAAAAACGACATATTATTATCTAAAACGACATATTATTATCTTTATATAATATAATCCACTCCTACTACCACCGATTCATACCAAAACCATGACAATTGGCGCCCGAACAGGGACACAGACCGCGGATAATTGCACTCTTGTCAGCAGTTTGTGCAAACGCGTATATTGTACTACGAAATGATTACTAGTACATTTGAGGGGACTCTAAGAAATTTTGAATGTGAAGTGAAAGGTGGAAAATAAAGAAACAGAAGAGGACTTGTGATGTTTGCCAGAACCAGCGACGGAGGGCGAGTTCTACCTGCACCCATGTGGCCTCTCACAGTGATCCCCGAACCCTTGAGAGGGTGGCGGCGGACATTGTGGTCAGCAAACCCAGTTCCACATCAGCCAGCTGATTCAGTACGAGGCGGTGGACTGCACACCCAAGGGTGAGTGACGGGAAGAGTACCTCTACACCTTTGGGGGTCTTCATCAACGGAGGGACCCAGTTCCACCTCAGCCTCCCGATTCACTACGAGGCGGTGGACAGTAAACCCAAGGGCGAGTGACGGACAGATTTACATCTTCATTTTGGTGGACTTCAGCTTGAGGCGGTGGACAGTAGACCCAATGGTGAGTGATGGGCAGAGTACACCCTCACCTTGGGGGGCCCTCAGCGAAAGAGGGACCCAGTTCCACATCAGCCGGCTGGAGGAGTCCTTCTCTTCACCACCGGGAAAGTTCATTCGACATTGCAGAGCATGTCTAGGACCTGACCTATGTGTGGGAGCGTCCATATGTTCCGGTCAACTCGAACCTCCACGCATCTGACGACTCTTCAAATGTTATGTAAACCTTTTCACACCTCTCTACATTTAAGAACATAACACGACACCTGTACCACCTAAACAATGTCTACATATACTGCCAGATTCTGGGGT